CCGAAGCGGAACAGTCTCAGTCCCTCCCCGCAGGCTGCAGTCACTTAAGCAAGCCTCACCACAAAGGCAGAAATATGTTCGTGGCAATGCCGTGAGTGACAACACCCGGAAAGAGAGAAGGTGAGAACAAAGAAATGTGTTTTCATTACGTGGGCGGTGTGAGTGACAACCCAAACACGCAAAGGAACACACAACAGAGGGGCACACTCAAACACCTACAACCCATCCAATCTTTATACCAAAATAAAAATGTAAAAAAAAAGAGTGACCGCATGAGGCAGACACAATAATAGAGCAAAGATGTAAAAGAAAAAAAGAAATTCATTACTTACTGTGACTGCGATGCCTGGACACAGTCCAATCCACCCCAAGATTAACAACGGAAAATCATTCCGTACTGAACGTGCCGTGTCCATATCTTTATTCTTGATGTCCCTGCAGCAGTTTGTATATAATGAAAAAAAAAAGAATCATTGCATAAAAATGAACACACAAGATACACAAGTTGTATTGGAAACGCAAGAGAGAGAACACACAGCTGCACATAACGTGCAGTGAAATTATAATGAAACACACACACACAAGGGAAAAACAACAAAATGAAAACAAAATGAAAAGAAAGCTGTGATCACCATGTGAATATGTTCAGGAGGCAACCAACACAATTCCCAGCAGTAGGTGTGTGTGTCTTTCGTACAGGGCGAGCAATGGGAATGATGCACACATGATGACAGTCCACACACACACACACAAGAAGGAAGGTTGGTGGTGTGTGCGTTTGTGTGTCTTGAACCTCCTGCCATTCTTCACATTTCAGTCACAGCAATCATAACGTATCGGGTCTGTATCCCATTCCCATGGGTAAAAGCAATAGCTGGTAATATCACGGAACACACACACACACATCACCAGGAGGGCACAGTAAATGGCGGAAAAACAGTGCCCAGATAATAATGCCAGCAAAAAAAGAGGAGACTCCCCTCACAAAATGATGGTTTGTCATGTGATGAGTGCCATAGGGAGTCCAATAGATTCGTTCAGTATAAAATGCAAACAAGAGATTTATGGTGCTGGGAGAGAAAAAAAGAAAAGAGAGCTGCCAAGCAAACAAAAAAAAAGCAATGCCCTTACAATGCATCCATATCCACTCAAATAAAGGTTAACTGTTCAACTGTGTCATGGGAACACCGATCAGCAAACGAGAGTGCAACCCAACACACATATCAGAACAAGAAGCAGCATGGAAGCGTGCACCAATGCAGGACTTTCAGCACGGTCGTTCTTCTTTTTGGCCTTTTGCGCCCGTTCCGCTTCTCCCTTTGCCTTCTCTGCTGCCTCTCTCACCTCTTTTTCCCTGGACTTTTCTGCTGTCTCTGCAAGTCTGGCCTCCACTTCCTTGGCCTTCTTTGCTGCCTCTCTTGCTTCTCTTTCCCTGGCCTTTTGTGCCGCCTCCTCTCTCGCTCTTTCCTCCTCCTCCGCCCTTTTCCTTTTAGCCTCTTCTTCAGCAGCTCTTCTTGCATCTTCCTCTCTTCGCACCTTCTCTTCGGCAATCCTTCTTCTTTCCTCCTCCAAACGCTGCACGACGTTTTCCATCTCACTCTTCAGCTTCACACTAAAATTACTGGCCTCGAGTTTGCTTTCTTTTGGTTCGTCTTCAATCTTGGCACGCACCGTGTCTTTGACACCACTGTTTTTCACCTTTTCGTAAACATCCTCTATCTTCTGTTTGACTGCTGTAGCTTCCGTATTCTCCGGGGGCGACCCTATCTTTCCAACTTGTGCGTCGACTTTCGTTTTAAGAAGCCCTAACTTCACAACCGTCGCATCAAGTACTTCTCTCGCGTCTTTCATGTGAGCGTAGGACGTCACCTGTGAATGCTGCGCATCACCCCCGAATAACTTGTAATCTCCAATAAAAGCTGATATCTCGTTGTGCACCACGGTACTGTTTTCATAGAGTTCCTTGTTTTTCTCCCCACTCGGCTTCGGTCCCTCATACGGATCTAGTGCCTCATCGTACCGACCCCGGGCTCTTTCTAACTCCTCCTTGGCATTAATCGCATTTTCATATTCGAACCTGCAAAAGACCTTTCCGGTCTTGTATGCATCTCGTAACTTCCTCTCCGTTTCCTCGATGGATTGTCTGAGTTTGCCCGTTGTTTCTTCGACCTCCGCCACCAACCCCTTGACTTCCTTCCAGTTGTTGATAGTACCCTCCGCACCCACACCCGTTATCATCTCGCTAATTCTTTGGCTGATGTCCTCCGCACGTCCCGCCGCAGAGTCGGCGTCCGCACGACTTTGGTTGGACTCCCTTACCGCTTCCTTCCATAAATTCAGACAACTCACCCCCTTCACAACAGTATCGTTTACTCGATCTACCTCGTATTTCAGCTGTACCTCCTTTTCCCTTAACCTCTCATCCGGGGACTTGTTCACGCGGGCCTCACCGCTTTGCGCACGGGTCACACACGCATAACACTGCAGAAGTACCAACAGGTACACCACACGACGCAGTTGGACGAACATCGTTGTCATGAATGTCACTGTGAGTTGCTTGTATCTGTGGTAACAAGAACAAAAAGTGGAAAAGGAAGAAAAGAGACGCACATTTAACACACAAGGCAGTGGACACCACAACACAACACAGAAAGAGAGAGTGAGAGAATACCTCACAACAGAAATCAAACACAACCCAATGAGGGAACAACAATAAACCACCCACACATCCACATCACGCATCACCGACGTACACAAACCACAACACACACCCGAAAACATAACAAAACATGGCACCGACACTGCACGCCTTATCCAATCCACATACGAAATGATCACACAATCGCCGAGAGACGACGCGCAACGTCACGAACGTTGCACCACACGAAAAAACTTATGTGAGTGGTTGGTTACGTGCTCCCCCACGTATAACAAATCCCACCACCGGAGTCCCGACACCCATCATAAAATAACACCGGACACAACCAACAACATAACAACTTTAGACCAAAACGTCCCAAGGAACAGCACTAAACTCGCACAAACAAGAAAGAATACCACCGCCCACACCACACAGAATCACCAAAACAACCCCATGGCACACACCCATTTCTGACACTTCAACTCCTTCTTGATGTGTTTTGAGAGGGTACGATCAAACATAATCCCTTCCACCCCACCCAAAAAGGATCACACACCACACCACGCTTATTCTTTCTGTTCTTCATGGCTTTATGGATATTTCTCCAATGGTATGGCTATCAACCGTACACCGTAGAGCACCTAGTTACCGACTTAAGAGTGGCTCCGAAGAGGAAGAAGATCCCTTCATTTTATAGGATCCCCAAGCTCTTGTAATATTATTTTTTGTTGTGGCCCGTTCCCATACGAGAGAACCAGTCTACGAGAAATCTGATCGAGTAAACCCAACCAGATCTCTCTACTCTCACTGTTCTTACCCAGAACCCATCCTCAAGTCTCCTTTTGGTATTATTTTTGTTATTTTTGGGGGTTTTTGTAATAGATTGGCCTCAATGAACTCCTATTTATTTTGTTGCTTGTTTTTGGACGGCGACAGGCGTCTTGAGCGTACTCTTCTATCAAGGTTTCCATATTTGTGCTCGTCGCTGTTTTTAGAGAGGTGGGGGAGGTGGGCTGCGTAGGGTTTCTCTTGGTTGTGAAAACTGTGGCATAGTGTAGTTCCGCTCCACCGCAATCAGGAACTGAGCTAACCGCTTATAAAACATAGTTTCATCAGGGGTACATCATCAACTATCGCAAATTGAACTCGCAGTGGATGAAGAGCGGGGCAACTCAAAAGATGCAGAGCTGTTTCGTCCCATTCGTCGCGTTGGCTGGTGTACGCGCGAATAGGTTGATACCCGTGACGTGGCATTCGGTGTAGAGTTAGGCCTGATTTACTCATACACATTGACGACCGCATGAGGGGCAGACTAATGCCGGAAGGTCTCTTATTTTCGTTGTCTGTATCGTTCATTGGTGTTGTTCTTTTCATGGCGCGCACCGTGCCACCGAGTAAAAGGTACGGTTGAATGGCCACACCATGTCACGAGGGGAACGGGGAAGGGTCATCTTTGCGGAATACCTTTCAAACTCATCCTACCCAGCGTTGAAGTAGGGAAAGCAAGAGTTTTCCACTATTCCCAACCCCCCTCATTTTATAAGTTTTATAAGCGAAACACCCCAGGGGGCCACTCCACCCCTCTGTCTTCTTGTTGCGAACAAGACGCTGGCGAGCTGGCCGCCCGCCTTGGGT